TTAAAGGTATTATTTATTTATTTATTTGAGAGAGAACGAGTGAGAGAGAACATAAGCAGTGGTGGCAGGGGACAGGGGGAGAGAGAGAAGCAGCCTCCCTTTTGAGCAGGGAGCCCAATGCCAGGCTCGATCCCAAGACCCTGAGATCAAGATCCCAGCTGAAGGCAGACGCTTAACTGACTGAGCCACCCAGGTGCCCCCAAAACTCATTTTGTTCTTTAAAAAAAAAAAAAAACCCACATTTTCCAAAGTAAGGTTGATATTGTTTACTTTGTCAACTTTGCTGCTTCCTGGCTGTTTCAAGGGTATTTTGAAAGGAAGAGTCAATGTCTTCACTCAGTAATAAATATATATGTAATCCTTCTACCTGATGTTGAATCTGAAATATCAACTATAATTATAATACCTGACAAACAGAATAATAATCCCACCTTGTCTGTATCAGGCCTTTTAAAAGCAATGAGATCAAGTGTATATTTTACCTGATTACTGGGAAAGCTGGTATGGCTTACACTTGTTTACAGTGCATTTTATTACCCTGAGTGTGGATCAGAATAGCGCCCAAAAGTATACGAACCAAACATTTAAAAGAAAACTGGCAGGCGGGATGAACCATTACACACGAACTGCACGATGATTAAAAGCGTACAACTCCAGCATATTCACAATTGTTAATGCAATCACATTCCAAGTACTCCCATTCTTGGCAGAGCTTACAAACACTAATGCCAAAAAACATTACTCTTTTTCAAAACATTAACTCCATATTCAAAATTGTGATAGCATTGAGTCTTAAAATCTCTTGGCATGGGTTTTAATAATTAAGTGGTTAATAAAAAAATTGAGTTGGATAAACTAAAACTATTTGACTATTTCAGCCACACATGTAATCATTAGAACCATCATAGATGGGAATTTCAGAGAGGTATTCCACAACATTCTTTCCCCACCGCTGTGGGCACTTTCCGCCACCCCCGCCAGCCCAGACTAGTGTTGTGGATCCCTAGGACCCCGGACGAACACTAGGCCTCCCCCTCTGCAGACACACCAGGTCCTGTGGCTACACTGGCTGCAGAATGGCCTCCCACTGTCCCAGGAACTGGGCAACAGCCCCACAGCAACGCCCACCCTGAGCTGCGGCACAGGATGGCAAAACACTCCTACCTCTCCCTCTTCCTTTGGAGGCCATGCTCCTTAGGGAAGTTCAAATTGACCAGGGGACTATTTTAACTAAGTTAACAAAGGAAATCTATTCTGCATTAACATTTCTTTTTTCTAGTTTTTAAAAAAATTATTATTTCTTTGTTTTTGCAAGAGAGGGAGAGAGAGCGAGAGAGCGAGCATGAGCAGGCATAGGAGCAGGGGGAGAATCAGACTCCCCGCTGAGCAGGGAGCCTGATGTGGGACTGGATCCCAGGACCCTGGGGATCATGACCCCAGCCTTAGGCAGATTGCTTAACTGACTGAGCCACCCAGGCATCCTGTATTAACAACATATCAACTTATGTTTGTGAGGGAAAAAATAGAAAATAGAGAGAAGACATAACAATACCAGTAGTTAAAACTTCTAAAGTCTCACTATAAGATTCTGCTGAAGTTACATTGTCTTATTTTATTGGAAGATTTTTTCCTATTGTCAGAACATTAGCGTATATTCATATTTTACCTAACACTGTATCATAAGCAGCTTCCCATCTTAATAATCTTTTAAACTAATACGTGTTTCATATGTCAAGTAATTGTAACATGTTTTAGTTAACTGGTTCATCACTGAACTTGTTGATTCACTTTATTAAAAAAATCATTTATTCATTGAGTAGATCTACGACATTCAAAACACTGGATCAGGGGCACCTGGATGGCTCGGTGGGTTGGGCCACTGCCTTTGGCTCAGGTCGTGATCTCAGGGTCCTGGGATCGAGCCCCGCATCGAGCCCCGCATCGAGCCCCGCATCGGGCTCTCTGCTCAGCGGGGAGCCTGCTTCCCCCTGCCTCTCTGCCTACTTGTGATCTCTCTCTCTCTGTCAGATAAATAAATAAAATCTTTAAAAAAAAACAAAAAAACCCCACTGGATTAAATACTGTAAGTAGATGTATATGAGTAAGTGGGTCCTCTCAGAATGCTCTTCAAAATGACAAAAGACACAAACATATATATACAACACATACAACATATACAGTGTACGCTTTCTATATCTTGCATTTAATTTTTAATTTAATTAAAAAAAAATTTAATTTTTTAAAAATATTTAAGCATTTAATTTTTAAAAATTAATTTAATTTAATTTAATCTTTTTAATTTTAATTAATTTTTAATTTAAAAAACTATTTAATTAATTTTTTTAAAAATAAGCATTTAACTTTTTAAAAATATTCTTATGGGACTAAAATACCCTAATTTTCTTTCCAGATATTTCCTTTATTGCTATTTCTCTTACACTTGTCTGCTGGGTTTGTCTAGGCATGGAAATCTTTAAAGTAGCCACAAAAGAAAAATTCTGAGCATCATTAAATATTTTATCTTAAGAACATCCCTAGCCAAAAGTATTATTAGTTCTGCCTACATTTTAGACAAAATTGCTGTATAATATAGTACTGGGCTAAGAATGTGTTGTGGTTTTCTTTGAGTTGTGGGACTGGGACAGAGGAGTAGACATCTGGAAACAGGTATCTGAGCAACAAAGATATGGATACAAATTCTCCTTTCATATCTTAACTAGTTGTGTGATCTTTGGCATGTTACTCAAAAACAAAAAAAAAAAAACGATTATGCTTTAGTTTCCCTGCTTGTAGAAAGGAATTAATAACATTTACCTTCAAGGTGGATATAAGGATTCCAGAAAATCTATGTAAGGGTCAGCCATGTGCCTGGCATAAAAACAGACACTGAACATGTTTATTTCTACAATGAGCACAAATCCTGTTTTTAAAAGATAAACCTAACTTGGTATATGGAAAAATTATAAAGAGAAAAATTAATTTACTTGGCTTTACTTCTACAGGAGAATTGTAATTCATTACCCATTTCCCAGTGAAGGTTCTAAGCCTTGAAAATTCGAGAAATCTAGACATACAGGGGTCAGTGCCCTGAAGCCAACGACAATCACCTCAGAACCTAGCTCCTACCATGTCATTAATCCTATGTGTTTCCTCTTTTCTGTACATTTGTGAATATACATGGGAGACGATGAAGTAAATTCACAGTGTGGGAAAGCAACATCCATTCTCCAATCCTGCTTTGGGATGATTTGCTCCCCCTTCTTGTTCTTCTCACCTCACCTCTGATTTGAGAGAGGCTGAAGGCAACAGAGCCGACTACTCAGCTTCTCTGTCAGCAGACGGAATTAACTGCTCTCCTTCCAGGAGAGGTGACGGTCCCTGGGAGACACCAGTGTGGGAAAGCTATTTCTGGCCCCTCAGTGTTTTGCCTCACATCTTACAGGAGGGCTCTCTCTGATCCACAGTCCTCCTCTCTGAATGTGAATGACATTTCCTGGCTGATGAGGGATTCCCTGAAGAGTACTTCCACAAATTAATACACATGTGATCACCAGTAAGCGTTCCCAGGGCTTCCAGCATCCCTCGAATTCTCATGTTTCTCATTCGTTTGTTTTTCTTTTTATAATGATTTTATTTATTTGAGAAAGAGAGAGCATGAGTGGGAGGAGGGGCTGAGGGAGAGGGGAGAAGCAGGCTCCCCACTGAGCACAGAGCCCCACTCAGGGCTGATCCCAGGACCCCAAGATCACGATCTGAACCAAACTGAGACGCTTGATCAACTGAGCCACCCAGGCGCCGCTCATTTTTCCCATCTGAATCAAGTTTAAAAGTTGCAACCAATTATATGAAATAAACTGTCTTTAGTCTGTCAGAGTAATACAGCCATCATTAAAACGACATAAAATCCCAGGGATACAAAATTCTAGATTTTCTTTTTTTCCCATGGGGGCTGAATAAGCACAGACCTCTGAATGGTCTGCGGGCTAGTCTGGGGCTCCATGCTGGGAGGCACCAGGAGAGAGGAAACATGTCTGCATGCAAAGCTAAAGACAACATTGGAAGGTATGTGTGTTTGAGAAATTGCCTGCAGAGCTAGTAGGCAGATAAAACCTGTATCATTTTTGGAGCTGTATGTATAGAGTATTTCCATAAACCTCTAACCTCAAAAGAACCTGTATATAAGATTTTGTCTTTATTTTTGGATTGTCTAAACCTAAGTTCTTTCCCTGGACCCAGGATCACAGGGTCACTGTTGCAGTGATTTCAGACTCCAGGGTGCTAACTGCACATCCCAAAGCACAAAAAAGCTTGACTTCAAAAGATTATTTTGGAAACTGTCCTCTGCATCTGCTATTCCCTTATCCAGAAAATTCCGACGTCAGACATATGTACACAGTCCATTCCCTCGAGTCATTCGGGTCTTTTGCTCAAATGCTCCCATACTGGAGAAGTCTTCCTGACCATCCCAGTTGAAGCAGTAGAAACCCACTCAAAAACAGGCTCTATACAACCTTCGGATGCCCTATTTTTCTTATTCTTATCCTTCTTTTTCATCGCCTCTCCTATGATAGATACATTTGATTTTCCATCTCCCCTCCCCACCAATGCAAGCTCCATGAAGGAGGAACTTAGTTCTTTTCACTGCTGTATCCCACAGAGTTCCTGAATACACGCTTGCCGTTCAATAAATATCTGTCACACGAATGAATGACTTGTAGATGTTTTAGTCAAGTGCCATACATCTCCAATTCTCTTCCCAGCAAGATACACACTCAAACAGTGCTCCTGGGGCACACACGAGGCCAATGCTGAATCCTCTCAGATGTCTTTACCACAGCTTAGGAAGCAAGTGTATCCATGTGAGCTACCCTAGGAGTTGACAAAAGGCAAGCTTCTCTTCGAATCTTCCCAGGCTATAACACTCATCAACACACGACTTGCCCTCCCTCCCAAGCTTCAAATTACTTCATGCTCAGAGAAACCTAGACCTCTTTTCTTACCATACTGATCAGAATTGGTGGTGAAGAGAAGGTAGTCAGAAGCACAGGTCTGGGATTCAATATCCAAATCTCCGAGCCTCAGGATCAGTTTCTTCCCTTTTGGTACTCTGATGGTCTTTTCACAAACCGTGTGATTTGGGTAAGTCCCTGGGTAATTCTTAGACGTCATGGTGCCACTGTCCTGATAGGTCACTATGTGCCCACAGCCATCACCTGGTAAAGAAAAAGAGAATGAGAGGAGTGACATCAATTCTTACTGAGGATTGAGAGAGTCTAGTACAGTCTCCAAGTCATGTATGTTATTCCTTCTTCCTAGAGGGAAAAGTGAAGAAGAAGGAGGAGGAGGAGGAGGAGAAGGAGGAAGAGGAGGGGAAGGAGCAGGAGGGGGAGGAGGAGCAGGGGGAGGAAGAGGAAGGAGGAAAGGAAAGAAGGAAGAAGAGGAAGAAGAAGGAGGAAGAGGAGGGGAAGGAGCAGCAGAATGAGGAGGTTAAACTTTGTATTATTTCAGGTTATTTCATCTTGTGTCCCAGTTTAATCTTCTGACTATTTTGGACCAAAGTGTTTCACATATTAGAATGGAAAGCCCTCAGCAAAGACCTCATTTGATCATACCACTTTTTCTAGTCATCTATTTATCTACCATGGAAACTTGCAGAGTAGGCCCTTCGCATTCACAGATTTGCCATTTGTGGTTTCATCTATTAGGAAGGCAACGCCGTGCAATAATCTGTGGTGGAGAAAAGAATCGTCTAACTTCCAGAGGGTCACCATATAGTTAAACAAGACAGCGTGGGCCGCGTGCTGCTGGTAGAATTTGAGATGTAGGCTGAGAGGAGAGTAAGAGCCTGTTACAGCTGGAGATTTCCAACTGTTCGACATTCATGTGGCAGTTAATGACAGTCACAGACTGGAAGGATCCTGATAGACCCAGGATGTGTCATTAGGGAATGTGGAGGGTCTAGTGCATGGAGTGCTTGGTGCATACCAGAACTGGTACAGATGGATACACAAAAAAGCAGCAATGGCAGCTTCGCAGAACTCAGAGTGAAATGGGAGACAGTTATATGCTCAGCTAACTCTAATACTGGGTGCTGTGTGTCATACCAGGAGCTTAAAGCACCGAGGAAGGCAGGAAAGGAACTATTTCAGTGAATTATCACTACTTCACTAAAATAAGACATTTCCTTAAGACTTTTCTGAATAGGGAAGTTCATCAATGGACCGACACATTGTTCTAGTAGATTAAAGTGACTGAGTCACTCACTCAAATAGCTAATGGCACGCACAGCTGGGTGGGCTGCAAGGTAAATGAGCATGCACTGCGTTCAAATGGCAAAATTCTTGTGGCCAGTATGGCTTCACATAAAAGCAAAAATTTCTGTCCTTAACTGGAGGGAGACAAAGCAGAAATTGGTTGGAGAAGGAATTCTCTGAGTAATAAAACAAGGCCTCTGCATCCCAAAGTCTCCCACAAAGAAGCCCCAATTTGGGCATAGTGGGAATCTAAAGCCCAAGGCAGCCTTCTTCCTCCTCCAACCTCTTCCTGAGCTGGAGAAGGATTGGCCTGGGGCTTTCCTTTATCCCACTCTTATCTGGCCCTGAGGCTTATAGCCCAAATGATAATGGAGGCTTAAAAAACAAAAAACAACAACAACAAAAACCTGGGGGGGGGGGCAGGGGGGTGCATAGAACTCCAGAAATACCCCATCTCAGCAGACAAGTCTAAGAAGAAGAATCTACCCATAACCCAGAAACTGCCACAAGATTCCCAACCCTTCCGGCCAGATGGATGGATGGGGGATAAGAGTTAACTTACCAAGAACACGAGCAGAAATGTAGATGATATTAAGATAAAACCACTGGACACCTGCACATCTGGGAGAAGCTTTGGAATTTACATGGAAGACTATAGAGACCCACAGACGTTTTTGAGAAGGGAGATAATGAAAGAAATGTTTAAAAAAGGATGATCAACCTGGTAGGGCAATGCTGCAGGACCTAGAATGTGGGGGGAATCTGGATCAGAAGAGCCATACAAGGGCTAGGAATGGGGCAGCTAGAAAGGGAAAGGAAAGAAAAACAGGGAAATTCACAAGAAAAAAAAAAATCAAAGGCTCAGGAAACAAGAGGTGTTGGTGAGGATGCGGAGAAGGGGAACCCTCTTATACTATTGGTGGGAATGCAAGCTGGTGCAGCCACTCTGGAAAACGGTATGGAAGTTTCTCAAAAAGTTAAAAATAGAGCTACCCTAGGGTGCTTGGGTGGCTCAGTCAGTTAAGCATCTGACTCTTCTCTTCATTTCTGCAGGGGTCATAATCATGGTGTCCTGGGACTGAGCCCCAAGTTGGGCTCCACAATGGGCGTGGCACTTGCTTGGGATTCTCTCTCTCCCTCTGCCCATCTCCCAGCTTGCACTCTCACTCTCTACTTCCTTCTCTCTTTAATAAACAAATAACCCTTAAACAAAAAACAAACAAAGAAAAACACCCAGAAACTATCCTATGACCTAACAATTGCACTACTAGGTATTTATCTGAAGGATACAAACAGTGATTCAAAGGGGTACACGGACCCCAATGTTTATAGCAGAAGTGACTACTACCACAGCCAAAATAGGGAAAGAGCCCAGATGTCCATCGACTAACAAATGGATAAGGATGTATATACAATGGAATATTACTCAGCCATCAAAAAGAATGAAACCTTGCCATTTTCAATGACATGGATGGAACTAGAGGGTATTATGCTAAGCAAAATAAGTCAGTCAAAGACAAATACCATATCATTTCATTCATATGTGGAGTTTAAGAAACAAAACAGATGAACATAGGGGAAGGGAAGGAAAAATAAAGTAAGGTAAAAACAGAAAGGTGGGCAAACCATAAGAGACCCAGCTCTAGGAAACAAACTGAGGGTTGCTTGGAGGGGAGGCAGGTGGGGGGATGGGATAACTGGGTGATGGGCATTAAGGAGGATACTTGATGTAATGAACACTGGGTGGTGTATGCAACTGAAGAATCACTAAATTCTACCCCCTGAGACTAATAATATACTGTATGTTAACTAACTCGAATTTAAAGAAAATCTAAAACAAAACAAAACAAAACAAAACAAAAAAACAGACTTGGGTTTTGGTTTAATGGGGAAGACGAGAGAAGAAAAAAAAAATCGAAACCCCACTGAGATTCTGAGTCCAGAAATGACTGTAACACTAAGGCTAATATAGACGAATTAGAAGCCCAGAGAGAGAGCAGGTTTGGGGGCAAAGGTTGTTAAGTCTGGTTAAGGCTGAGGTGACAGCTATCTTTCGTGACATCTCTGGCAGTAAGTACAAAATTGTTGAAAGTTAAATGAAAATTATACCAGAGGAAAGCATATGGTGCAGAAGCACATAGTGCACAAGGCTTTGATTTAAAATCTCAATTATTTGCCTGCTTATAAAGTCTTTCATTAGAAAGTCCAATTTATAGTTTCTCTTGAAGACTGGAAGATGTGGAAACAATGGCAGCAGGTGTTCTCACCCAGCTAGTGACACTGCACCTTTAAAGGAGAAAAGTGCCCTAGGTCCCCACCCCGTCCTCTCTCTTCTAGGACGTGCCCCACCTTGGGAGGCCATGATTTTGAGCATCCAGACAGGGCAACGCTACGGTAACTAGCGTACAAACAATCATGAGTGTTAATACACACATTACCCTCTCTAACCCACCAAGATATCACCTGGTCAAACATTTAAACACCTTTCTTCTTATGGGGAAATCTCTCCTTTAATAAGAGAAGAAAAAGTGAACTCTTTCTGGAAAGCACAGCTAAGTATTAAATGAGGCATAATTATATGCGAATCAACTTCCATTTGATCACTATATTCTTGATTTTACGTAAGTGACATGTCATGACAAAGGAATATGGGTATCACATTTATTCAATCCTGTAATTATACTTCTTTCCAATCACTTTTACTCTAAAGCCCTAGAGGAAACTAATTTCACCCAGTGATACCAGCAGAAGGGAAGCAGGTCTGGCTTCAACTCTCCCATCATTACTTTGCCTGGGTGATCAGTGCCTCCTTGGAAAATTTTCTCTTTTCCATTAACTATCAGAATGATACTCTAGGAGTCTTTGTTCTTCAAAAAAACCTGAAAGGAACTGCTGAGTCCTAATTTATTAAAAAGCAAGCGGTCATCAGAAGTTTGTAATTTCACCCCTGTCTGTGCAAGGAGACTATTTAGGAAGTTTTCTGTGGCAAGCACTAATATAATATATTTATTTCATGGTATTAACATTAGGAATTTTCATCCTATTGTCCTTCCATGGTCTTGATGAATTCAAAAAACTAGATATACTAATAATACTGTAATAGATACCTGAAAGTTGCTAAGAGAGTAGATCTCAAATGTTCTCACCACAAAAAAGAAACGGGGATTACAGGAGGTGATGGGGCGGTTAGCTAACATCACGGAGGTAATAATTTCACAATATGTAAGTGTATCAGATCAACACACTGTAGACGAACTAACACATCATATGTCAGTTATACCTCAATAAAGCTGGAGGAAAAAAAGGACTAGAAATATGCCAAAGGGGAAAATGGAGAACTGGGAGGGAGAGAAAATGCCCACCATACCATGGACTGTATAAGGCAGATGCATGCAAATGATTAACAGTAGGGAAGCAATATTCCCAAGACCTTATCTTAACACTTAGGTAGCTTACTCTCATCACCTAGCTCTAGTGTAGAATCACTGACAAGGAAGGCAACAGAAGTTGCTTAAAAATCTATCACTTCCTGTTCCATTTCTTGAGTATCAATGTCAATTTCCTGGTTCTGACTGGCAAGATGTTATCATTGAGGATAACCAAGTAAAGGGTACACAACTTTCTTCTCTATTATTTCTTGCAACTGTATATATTCTACAGTTGTCTCAGAAAAAAGTTTAATTAAAAAAATGTGTTAGTCTGGTTAAGTTTGGCTGACAGGGGGTGAAAATGAAGAGGCTTTCATTTTCTGTTTTATACTTTTCTATACTATCTGGATTTTGTTATTCTGTATAAACTATTTAAAGTATGCTTAAATAAAACATTATCCACATTTGCATTGAAAAGGTATATATTGAATGACAATCAATAAAGGAGGCCACTTTTATTCTAAAAATCTCTCTGTACCAAATTTGTTATCCACATTTCTCATATGTGTCTGAGGAGCATGGGGTATCATG